TTGTTTTAGGTATAGTTAAAGATTAAAATAACTAGATTCAGTTTTCATTCTCTTTTAATTATTATTCCATGAGCACAAGGCATACGTTGTGTCCTTTCTTTTACTAAGACACACAACACCTCCTTATATCAAAATTGTCCTTTCAATTAATACATCTGAAAATTCAAGATATTACATTTTTTTCCCTTTTAGACCAGAGAAAATCTTTAATATCTATTCTCATGAATTAATTAAGCATTACTAGCATATTACGGTAAATATCCATTCATATAAATAAATATTTACCACCAATATTCACTTAGGACAATTTATACATAATACATTGAAGATATTCTAATGACTAAAATAAATAGACCACTTTCATAGATCCTATTTATTAATTATTATTCTCAATCCATATATTGGTATAATCCCACATAAAGCTTTAAGAATTTCTAAGTGATCTCAAACAAATAGACCATTTAATGGTAGCACTATTTATTAATCACAAACTCTCAATTATATGTACATTATACACGTATGAGAAATGTTAATGCCGTGTTACAAAGACAATAACCAAATAATTGAAAGAATTGATTATTGGCCAATCCAAAAGAATGAGCACATGCAGTTAATTGTAGTATCAATTGTTTGGCAAAAAAAATTAAATTAAATTAAACATTCACTTTGCCAAAAAATATTACTATGAAAAATCGGTGATGCCCTACGGTACCACTGTAGCCGCCGACACATGCAATATAACAAACAGTAATCAACAAATATTAATTACCAAAAGAATCAAGAAAAAACAGTGCTGAAAATTGGAGTCTTTAATTCTTAGGCAAAACTTAATTTGCAGACGTCACAGTGTTCAATACTCCGGTCTCTTCTCTTCTTTTAATTCTTTTTAACTTTACAATGCAGTATAACTCAACTTGCAATAATTTTAAAAAATTTAATATTGGTTGACATATGCCATCATCGTGATATACCACAATTATCAACAATTAGTAATTAAACATAATTGAATTCGGCTATACACTGAACTCACGTAAAAACTGCATATTAATGTCTGTATCGAAAACATATACATACATGTATATCATGTTATCTAATAAGATGCAAGTGTGGCTCTTGATGCCAATTGTTGGAAAATTATATGCACAGCGGAAGTATATTTGAATCTTACTGCTTACATGAATAATAGATAACCAATAATCGTTTATGCTAGATCACATAATCATGCTAGAACACATAAACATACTGAAATTTAATTCGATAAATACCTCTTGAAGCGTGAACAGATACCTTCAATCGAATCCCCAAGTTAGACAGACCTTCAAGTGAATCTACAAGATAGCTATGGTCTTCTACAGTGATCCCAAGTTCACATCTGAACTCTCTCAATACTTGGGTGGGCAAGTATGAATAAAAAAAAAACTAAATCCATCTTTTTCTAGGTTAGGAGAATCTCTATTTATAGAGATTTCTTCCCCAATCCAAAAAGGAGAAGAAAACCCAGTTTTCTTGAAAAACAAGAAAACCCACGCCTACTCCTTTTTCCCCTAAGAAATAGGATTCTGAGTTCTAGTTAAATATGGGCACCGGAGGGACCACATAATTAATTACTGAGGCTTCCTATTATGGAAATAATTCCAAATAATTAATTTGAATTATTCTTACCATAATAAATTACAAATCATTCCACTAGAAATTCGTAACTGCACTCCTCTATTTATATTTCATAATTCCCCATTAAACATTTATGTAATTCCCCATGTTAAGATTTCAGATACTAATCAATAAATTAAATTACTGACGAATTTAACTTAATGATTAATTTCCTTTAGAGCACTACTTAACTTATTTCATGTGTCGGATTCATAAATCCACTTGCATGGTTTGACACGATGAAAACTTATAAGTTTCTCAAAAAGGCATATCAATCAATCTCTATAACGAGACATGGATTCCATCAACTAACTTATTATTTCACCAATATATATTATTATCATCCAACTTACCAGGCATATTGACCCATCTCAGAATCTCACCTTTTAATAAATCAAAACGATAATTAATATATACAGATCATAATAGTTATATCAGGATTAAGAATATAAGAACATTTAATAGTTTAGAGAATATGTTTTGTCAGTCAGTCTAAAACAACTATCTCTACTCGGTCCCGTTCAATACATACAAAATGCACTAGCACAAGAAGTTGGAACTATACCGTTCCCATAATCAAGATAAATTACATATAATCTTGTGCTACAATCGTACCGATGGCATGTCCAATTTCCATCCTAGATTGTGAACAAAAAACTTTATACTTATAAGAATCGATGATTTAATTCTCTGTGTATAAGCTAAACTCTACACACTAAATCATCTACTATATAAGTAAATAGACACCATAAACGAATATATGATCTATTAAAATTGAGCAAATATTTATTCTATAATAAATATTATTTCTTAACACATGGTTAATAGTATATATCCCAACATAAAGTTACTAGGTTCGACAAAACCCCGGTGACTAAAGATTTTCTGTTGATATTCTTTCTCTTTTTTATTTTTGCCCCTACGAGAGGGGGCAGGGGTTTGGAATGTAAAATTGAAAGAACCCATGTGAGACCAACTTTGAAGAATGAAGATCTTTACGCTCAAATCATTAGCACTTTAGCATCCCCAAAGTTTCATACAACCCAATTTTGTTCAACTTACCAAGTTGTATTGCAACTTCTTTAATAACAATAATGTTCAGGTCAACTTGCATACACTTCGATTAATTCCATCAGATACCTGCTACTACCTCTACTAACACAGATACCATGTAACTCTATCCAACTATCACTTAGTGATTTTACCTCCAGTGAGATTTGAACTTGGTTACTCATGGTTCTCGACCTACTTTATAAGATTATTCTCTGTGCTATTTATATTCTTTATGTCCATAAATTTAGGTATCCCCTGCTTTGTGGAATTCCCTTTATCCTTCCTCTCCCTCTGCCTCCTGAATATAGTTCCAACTAATATACAAAAAGGAGGAATCAAATAGGATTACAATTAAGAGGTACCCTTTATGTAGATAGTTCCCCTGCATGTGCTTTGCCATTGCACAGAGTTAGGCTTTTTGCATACAATTTTGCAAACTCATATTTTCCTTTGATTCTCGTCGTTTTCAGTCTATAAAAGCTTGGTAGCTGGTTTCTCCTTACTACTCATCAGCAGAGACTATGAGTAAAGAAGCCAAAAAGGTTAGTCACATTTTCCTTTTTTGAATTTATTTCATCTTTGCCAATATGAGAAAATGTTCACATAATGGATTGTTATGTTTGATAGGAGCTCGTTAAGGAACCGAAAATAGAGGAAATGGAGGATGAGAAGACAGAAGAACTAAAACAACTTTCTCCTTTAATTTTGTGTATAGACTTGCATTGTTTAGGATGTGCCAAGAAGATTGAGAGGACCATTTCAAAGATAAGAGGTTTTTATCCTACTCTAGTCACTTTGCTTGTAACGTTCTAGTCAGTTTGTGTGCACCTTGACTATTCCACTGTGTTTTTGCATTTTTTTCTTCTGACGTTATTTTAGACAAGCATCAAATCTATATTCAAATGGAGCAGGGGTAGACAGAGTAATGATAGATATGGAGCAAAACCAAGTGACGATAAACGGAGTGATTGAACCACAAGCATTGTGCACCAGGATTGTTAAGGAAACAAAGAGAACAGCAAAAGTATTTTCGCCTTTGCCACAAGCTGAGGATGAACCTATTCCTGAAGTTGTTTCTTCACAGGCAATCTTTTTTACTCGTACTGTATAATTTTTCGCTGAAGAATATACATAAAGATCATAAATGTAAATGTTTGATCCTTGTTTTAATACCTTTTCAGGTTAACAGATTGACGACAGTTGAGCTTATTGTTAACATGCATTGTGAAGCATGTGCCAAACAGCTTAAAAGAAAGATTCTAAAAATGAGAGGTATATAAACAAGTTCTTTTGTGTATTTACCTAACCATTTTGAGTACGCGGATTCAGAATTTTAAGTTAGTACATGTGAAATGTCACAATAAGTATTACTTTTGTGTCTACTAATAATCTTCTTCATGATTAATTTAGGGGTGAGAACCGCGGAAACAGATCTGACCTTAGGGAAAGTAATTGTAAAAGGAAGCATGGACGCCAACAAGCTCATTGATTATGTCTACGGACGAACTAAAAAGCAGGCCAAAATTGTCCTTCAACATGAACCCCGGAAGCATAAGGAAGAACCAAAGAGTGAAGATCCAAATCCAGATGAAGAAGCTAAGAAACTCGAAGAGGAAGACAAGAAAGAAGGCGGCGAAGACAGTAGCATGGCATCAGAGGGAGAAGAAATCATCAATAAGATGATGTATTATATATTGCCAACCACTTTATGTCATTGAAAGAATCCCACCTCCTCAGCTCTTCTCCGATGAAAATCCTAATACATGTTGCATAACGTAACCAATAATAACAGGTACGTGAAAGATCATTTTCATCTATTCAAATTGTAAGTGATCATAGGAGATCATTTTCTCGGAGTTTCATGATATCGTGGGATGAGACTCTCCTATGTTTCTTATGCATTTTTATATCAGCCAATGCAATTTCATCTTTCCCAGTTTGATTCTACATATAAAACAGGGGTGCAAGCACCATAGTGCCAGAGGAAAAGAACAAAATTTACATACTTTAAGTATCATTATTTTGCGAGTTCCATACCTGAACTATTAGGTGATTGTTTCCTACCTAAACTAATTATTAAAAATATAAGAGATGATGAAGCTTTTGGTAAGGTAAATTATTGTACAAATCTCCCAACACATTATTTATTAGATAGCTTGCTCGATCGATCAGTAGCTTCGTTAGAAAATCACACATATGGACAAATATAATAATTCTTTATACTGTCGATGTATAATTTGATTAATTTCCTAACACATTTATTAGATGACCTGATGGAACGATAACTGTGTGATAACCCACACTTAGGTCGATACAAAAGTTATAAACTCATACAAGTACTAGGTTCCATCGTTCTTGAAAAGTTCTAAACAATATTCCTGGTCTAAATTCCTGCTCCAAAATTTGTCATAATATTCAGTGTAAGTGAAATCTCGATAAATGGCTGAAGATCCATCTTCAATTAAGGTTTTTGGAGCACTGATAATGGAACAATCATTGGGACAGAGGAAAGAAGCCACAGACATCCTTGCTTTGTCTGAATTTACAATAGCTCTATGCCATATACTTTTATACTTTCCATTACTCAATGCCTGCACGACAAATAATTATTTCATCTAAAAGTTTAAGTTGCTAGATATAATTTTATTTAATTAGTTGTATTTTCAAGACACCCACACCACCACCATGATGTGCAAGTTTGATATCATAGGTCAAGCATGTAAAAAATATTTTTAAAATAATGAATAGTATATAGTGAAACTTGAAGAACCACCATGTTGAATTGTGTGTAACTTGTCATAAAAACTTAATTAACTAAGTTGTTAGAGATTATACACGTTTATTTACTTAAAAATGACATTTTTCAATATTGACCACAGCAATAGGTAATTAATTGTAATATGTCTCATATGAAAACATGAAAAATAGGGTAATTAATAACATGTTATTAAAGGTATATACGTTGCATTAGTGTAGATAGCTTAAATATTTTACTCCCTCTTCGTTTTTCAGAAGTTTATTTTATAAAAATTAAAATATTCAAAAACTATACGAAAAGTACAATATAGGTGTAAGTAAATCTTCTAGTGTCAATCAAAGTTTACTTATTTTGAATCTCGAAAAGTAAAATGTACCAGATAAATTGCGATAGATGGAATAGTTATGAAATAGAAGAGTCATGTTTTACCTCCAATTGATCACCAAGATTGATGACAAATGCATCAGGTTGAGGTTTAATAGATAACCATTCTCCATCCTTAAGAACTTGAAGGCCAGCCACTTGCAAATCTTGAAGAAGAATTGTAATTGCATTTGGATCTGTATGGGCTGGTAACCCATAAGTTAGTTCAGGTTGTGGACATGGAGGATAAAAATTGATAGCCATATGTTGTCCTTGTTTACCCAACACATTTTTAATACAATCTTTTTCAAGCCCTAGGCTCTCTGATATTGCTTCTTCTAATCTATATCCAAGTTGTCTAACTTCCATGCAATATTTGCTCACTATTTCCCTAAGCAATTAAAGAACATAAATTAGATTCTTATTTCGATTTAATCGAGTTAAAAAAGAATGAAACGTCATAACAATATGAATGGTGAGGCGTTGATCAGACTCATATAGCACATAAAATACATATGTTGTAGGTAGAAATGTTCTCGCTTTTTACCCCTACAAACACAATCATTTTGGTTCCGGATTCTAGAAAATTAATACTAATATCGTTTTATTTTTTAAGAAAAGAGTTTTAGCTTTTAAATAATAAATAAAAATATTTTCAAGGATACTGTTTTTTTTTTTTTTTTTAACAAAAGAATAAAATAAAAATCAGACACCATAGTAGTTGTCTGCTACTGACTAGCAACTGACAAAGGAATCAATCATTCATCACATGATTTTATGTTATGCTGGCTACCACCATCACATGGTTATATTTTATCATTGGTTCACTTTTATTAGTTCATAAAGAAATTATAAAATAATATATATATATATATATATATATATATATATATATATATATATAATACTCATATAAATAATAGTATATATTGTAAATCAATTTTTATTAATATAAGTAAACAAGAAAAAGTGAACGGAACAATTGAAAATTATTGCGTCATCAGTCTATGTATTCCATGACGTCATGAAATATATAAAATTAACAGCTGAGCTGTAGGGACTAGGACAGTGAGAAGTGATGCATCGACAATGAAAAAGGGCCCAAACACATGCACAACCCCTCAAACTTGCTCTCATTTTTTATTTTGGCACTCCAACTTAGCCTTATTCTATTCTAACCCTTAAACTCCATTTTTTCTGTACCATTTAAACACTAATACTAATTTTAATGATATTTTTTTTATTTATGTTCTTCAATTGTAATTTTTTATTTTAAAAAAATAGACGTGTGTCTGTTGATTTTCGTAAAAAAATTAAACATTCGCGAACAAACATAAAATTTTTCAAACAATAATATTATTTTTTGAGATTTCTCTGTACTTTTGCATGAAAGTAAATTGACGAAAGTTCTTTGATTTTCTTTCTTGAACATTCAATTAAATTAAATAACACTACTTATTTATTATTTCTTATTTTATCGCAAATACTCACTTTTTATTTTTAATATAAATCAATACGAATAAAAAAACTCATCTTCAATACGAGTAAAAAAGACTCTTGTTCATTGCTAATAACACTACTAAAAAATGTTAAAACTCAACTGACTTTAATTTGTTAGGTTGTCGGTGATTTTTAAGAAAGAAAAACAACACAATTTCGTTAGTTATTTTTCACATAAAAAAAACATAAAACTCTTAAAAAGAAATTATTTTTTTTTAAAAAAAATTATTTTTTGTTAATTTTTATCTTTTTAACTAAAATTAATTGACAAATGTCGATTTAAAATAAGAAGTTGCAATTGAAAAATATATATAAAAATAAAGAAATCATAAAAATAGTATTTCGTGTTAAAATGATATATAAAAAATGGAGTTTAATGGTTAAAATGGAACAATGCTAAGTTGGAGTGCCAAAATGAAAAATGAGGGCAAGTTAGAGGGGTTGTATATGTGTTTGGCCTTAAAAACGACTTGACTAAATAACACTTGTACGCAAATTAAAATCACAGAGTTTTGGAATAATATACTCCATAAAACATCTAGTACGACTTTAAATATTTTGATTAACTAGTTTACAAAATATATATTACATAAATCAATTCATATATTTTATACTAACAAATTAATTGATCGAACGGTACAATTAGATAAAAAGTCCAATAGATAATTTTTTTTAAAAAGGTCGGCAGAGCCGGTGTAGAATTATCAATTGCAAAAAAATATTGGATAGATTTGAGTCGTTTTCTTTGTGAAGCAACATAAAATTTGACATAATCTAATTAATTAGTGTACCTAATTGCCGGTACAACACTTACTAATTAAACAGAAACAACTTAAACACGTAATTACAAATAATTTACCTAGATAGGTACATAAACAGTTTAGATACGTGACAATCAAAATTACGACTAGTTAGAAACGAGACAAAAAAAAAGGGAAAAAGGACAAATATACCCGAAATTATCGTAAATGATATCCAGATATCCTCCATCATACTTTTGGGACATTGATGCCTTTACCGTCTAAAAACTAGAGCATATATACCCTTTACACTAACGGACATACACCTGTCATAATCTTATCCACAGATCCGATATCTATTAAATATCGGATCGACGGATAAGATCAGTATTTAGTCTTCCGTTAGAGTGAAGGGCATATATGCTCTAGTTTTTGGACGGCAGGGGCACCAATGCCTCCAAAAGTATGACGGAGGATATCTGCATACCATTCACAATAGTTTGAGGATATATTTGTGCTATTTCCAAAAAAATAAAATTACGCTGTGACAAAGCAAAAAATAGACAAGTTAGAATTATGACTAAAAACTTGCAAAAAAAACAACTTAGATACGGGATAAGTACGATTCATGTAGAGTCATCATTTACAGAAAATGAATTTGGATTGATAAATAAACAGGAAATGAAAGAAAAAAAATGATTTGACATGACATATGAATGAACTAATACTTAATTATAATGAAAATTCAAATTAATTACCTGAAAGAAGGAGGATTAGAAGGCCATTCAGGGGCATATTTGTCCAAAGGATAACAATGTAGCCTAAGATAATCTCTCCAATTATGAACAGTTTCCTTCTTAACATTAAAACTAGTTGATAATCTCATAGTCTTTGATGGATCATCTGAGTACAATTTCATCTTTTCTTCCACTGGAAGCTTAAAAAATTCATGAGCTACCCCCAACATTTCATCCATAACCTTCTTTGATACACTGTGATTTATCACCTGATAAAAAATAATCCAAAATGACTACTCGTTTATCTATTACAATTCTTTTGAACTGCGTGTAAAAATTAAAGTACTATATATAATTGAAAAAATGTGATCAACGAAACGTCCAAATAGTAATGTTGCTATGTGAATTTGAAATGGAAATAGTACAACAATAACAACATATCTGAAAGGATTGAATGTACGTATATCTTATAAATAAAAGGGAAAAACCATTATGCATAAGTGAAGTGAAATGAGAAAAAAAGGAACCTGGAAAAACCCATAAAGACGACAAGCTTCGCCAATTTGATGAACGATAACGTTCCTATCAGTACAAGACATATCGATAACTGGAACAAGATCATCACGATCAACAACTTCAGACATGCTGGGTCTTTGAGATTCAGGTCGAACGTAAGATTCAGGGAGGGTTGAATGGTTGAATCCACTGGAAAGAACACTTGTTATTTTCATTATGTTTAAGAACACAAAATAGAGATGTAATGCAAGAACTAGAATATTAATGTTGCTCGATCGAAATGTACAAGTAGTTTCATTGAAGCTCAAACTAGCTAATATATATATATGATAATAATATCAAAACACGTATATTTTAAATATTGTGGGCTTGGTTTTTTTTTCACGTGAACCAAATCACGATAATTTTGATTAGCTTGTAGAAATTAATTGGTTCACATTTTACAGACTTGATTAAATTATTACTTGATGGGACGGTACAATAAACGTGACGTGTAAAACAAACGTCACTTTACCAACTTAAGATATACGTGAGACCACCAACGTGTTTCGGACGAAATTTGGGGATTAACACATAATTAAAGCCGGACTTGGCTCTACTCCATTTCTTTTAGTGGTGGGTTAAATTCTTTACACGTGTCGATCGCGTTAATAATTGAACTCTTATTGATAGTAACGTTTTTAATTTAAAAAAGAATGACTTTCTTTCCTTCTTAGTTTGTTTAAAAAAATGACTTCTTTCTTTTTTTGATAATATTTTAATTTTAGCTTTCTACGTGACATGTTTAAGGTCACAAGATTAAAAAAGTAATTTAATACATTTGATATAACTTTAATTTAGGACCACAATATTTAAAAGTTTCTTTATTTTTTTAAACTTCGTATCAAGTCAAACTAGACCATTTTTTTTTTAAACAGAGGGAGTAGTTGAATTTGATGGAATTTAGCAATAGATATTGATGAGTTAATAAGTCAACAGTTAAGAAGTCAAGAAATTGACAAGAAAATGACCAAAATGGTCCTTAATGTACATGTGTTATTTTATTTTGGTCTTTAATATATCATACATGATAGAAATGGTCCTTAATGTATAACAAAAAATGTTTATTTTTAGTTTTTCACCCTAAATCTAACAAAGATGTCAAAAGAAGGTGTTATATTTGTTGGGGAAAATGCGGACAAGCACAAAAATATATATGGTAAAAGTAATGGAAAAAAGAAAAGAAAATAATGACACCAAGAATTTACGTGGAAACCCTTCTAAATAAGGGAAAAACCACGGGCCAAGAGGAGCAACTGATATCACTATAGTAAGGAATTTTACACCGTGTAGTCACGAATACAATACTCAAAGTGACTACTACTCACTCAAAAGGAATAACACTCTTTTGATTTTCACCTTACTAAAATATCGCTCACACTCTATTTTTCTTCACAGACTATTTTCTTATATAGTCTATGGAAACCTTACAGCTCTCTAAATATTTTACTCTCTCTGTGAATTGGTGTATCAAACGAGAGGCTGAAGAGCTCCTTTTATAGATGCAATTGTATTGCACTATTCAAAAATCATGCCACCAAAAATTTGCATTGCTGCAAACTTTGTTGACAAAAGAAAAAGGTTTGCAGCTATTGTTGACAAACAAATTAAGCTGTGTTTTCTTTACAACAATTGCAGCCGCAATTGTTGACCCAAAAACTCATGGGATGGACCCCACAAATCTCCCCCTCCAGGCCCATGTACTAAAATGAGGTATCTTCATCTTCTCAGAGAGAGCTCATGCCAACAAGTTCTTTGCATAACTCGAACTTGTCCATTGTTACCACTTTCGTAAGCATATCTGCATGATTCTCATTTGTAGAGATCTTTTCAACCTGCATAAATTCGTCTTCTATATTTTCTCGAATCTAGTGATATCTCACGTCTATGTGTTTCGTCCTTGCATGGTACATAGAGTTCTTGCTCAAGTCTATTGCACTTTAACTGTCACAATAGACGACATACTCTTTTTAATGCAAGCCAAGTTCTTGAAGAAATTGCTTGAGCCATATCATTTCTTTGCCAGCTTCGGTAGCCGCAATATACTCAGCTTCAGTTGTAGATAGTGCAACACACTTCTGCAATTTAGACTGCTATGATATAGCTCCATCTGAAAAAGTTAACAAATATCCAGTAGTGGATTTTCTGTTATCAAGATCACCTGCCATATCAGCATCTGTATAGCCCTTCAAGATTGGATCTGATGCTCCAAAACACAAGCATTCATCTGAGCTTCCTTTAAGATACCTGAGTATCCACTTTACAGCTTCCCAATGCTCTTTTCCCGGATTGTCGAGAAATCTGCTGACAACACCAATTGCGTGAGCAATATTAGGTCTAGTGCATACCATTGCATACATTAGTCTTCTGACGACGGAGAAATATGGAACTTTGGCCATTCTCTCTTTTTCCTCCCTAACTGTAGGACACATCTTCTTACTCAACTTCATATGACCAGCAAGAGGTGTACTAACAGACTTAGCATTCTCCATATTGAAGCGCTCTAGTACACGTTCAATGTACTTTTTCTGTGATAAAAAAATCTTTCTTTCATCTCTGAGACGAGTAATTCTCATGCCCAAATTTTGCTTGCCATGACCCAAGTCTTTCATAGCAAAAGACTTACGCAACTTTTTCTTCAACTCGTCAATCTTGGAAGTATTCTTGCCCACAATCATCATATCATCCACATACAACAAGAGGATGATAAAATCATTGTCAGAATTTTTTTGTACAAATACACAATGATCTGAAGAAGTCTTCTTATAGCCTTGCTCCCCCATAACAAATTTAAACTTTTTGTACCACTGTCAGGGAGCTTGCTTTAAGCCATAAAGACTCTTTTTGAGTTTGCACACAAAATTTTCTTTACCTTCTACTTTAAAGCCCTCAGGTTGTTCCATATAAATTTCTTCTTCTAGATCACAGTGAAGGAAATCCGTCTTCACATCCATCTGCTCAATCTCTAAATTAAGACTAGCAGCCAAACCTAGAACTGTACGAATTGAGGACATTTTCACAACAGGAGAAAATATTTCGTCAAAGTCAATACCCTTTCTTTGACCAAATCCCTTAACAACCAATCTAGCTTTGTACCTTGGCTTCAAGTTGTGTTCTTCAACTTTAACTTTGAACACCCACTTGTTCTTCAAAGCTCTCATGCCCTTGGGCAATTTTACCAACTCATAAGTGTGGTTCTCATGCAGAGATTCCATCTTATCATGCATGGCTTCAATCCATTGATCCTTGTGCTCATCTTCCATGGCCTCCTCGTAACATTCAGGTTCTTCCCCGTCAGTGAGTAACACATACTCATTGGGTGAATAACGAGAGAAAGGAACCCATTGTCTTGTGGACCTCCTAAGTGGAATATTTGATTCATTCACAACTTCATGAGCAGGAGGATCATCAATAACAATATCATTGTTATTATCAACATCAACATGTTGATTCGATACATGATTATGGGAGTCGCCGTGATCTTCAAGCCCAATAACATCATGCATACTTATGTGAGGAACTTCATCTAGATGAACTATGACATCAAAACTTGAAGATTCTAGTTTCTCCGCTTTGTCAATATCTTCAATTGTTTGATTCTCCATGAAAGTAATATCACGGCTTCTCATAAGTTTCTTCTCAATTGAATCATATAGCCTGTAACCAAATTCATCAAGGCCATATCCAACAAAGATGCATTGTCTTATCTTGACATTTAACTTTGATCTCTCATCTTTGGGCACATGTACAAAAGCTTTGCAACCAAATACTCTCAAATGGTCATAAGAAACATCCTTTCCATACCAAACATATTTGGTACATCACTTTGCAAAGCAATAACAGGAGATATATTAATAACATGTGCAGAGGTCAATAAAACCTCACCCTAAAATGAGTTTGACAACTTTGCTTCAGAAAGCAAACATCTAACTCTTTCTATCAAGGCCCTGTTCATCCTTTCAGCCAAACCATTAAGCTGAGGAGTCTTAGGAAGAGTCTTCTGGTGTCTGATACCTTGATGCTTGCAGTATTCGTCAAATGGTCCGTAATATTCACCACCATTATCAGTACGAATACATTTTAGTTTCTTTCCAGTTTCTCTTTCAACTGTAGCCTGAAACTGCTTGAAGACACCAAACACTTGGTCTTTAGTCTTCAAGACATAGACCCAAAGTTTTCTCGAGCAGTCATCAATAAAAGTGACAAAGTAGAGTGCACCACCCAATGTCCTTGTCTTCATTAGACCGCATAAATCAGAGTGCACCAATTCAAGCAACTCTGTCTTTCTTGAATGAGGGTAAGACTTAAAGGAAACTTTATTTTGTTTACCAGCCAAGCAGTGCTCACACTTTTCTAATTTAACACTTCTGAAATTTGACAATAATTTCTTTTTAGCTAGAACATTAAGTCTTTTTTTGCTGATGTGGCTAAGCCTCTTGTGCCATAATGTTGAAGAGTCATCGCTCTCAACCACATTTACCATATTGACACAAGCAGAAGCCGTAGTCCAGTATAGACCACGACGTTTGTTACCACGAGGCACAACCAAGGAACCCTTAATGAGTTTCCATTTTCCATCACCGTTGGTACTAACATATCATTCATCATCCAAACCACCAACAGAAATTAGGTGCAGACGAACATCAGGAGCATGTTTCACATTGTTCAAAACTAGTTTAGTTCCAACACTAGTTTTCAAACAAATTGTACCAATACCAACCACCTTAGAAATAGTCTCATTACCCATACTCAATGTTCCAAAATCACCAGGAGTATAGGAAGAGAAAAAATCATTCATCGATGTCACGTGAGATGCGGCACCAGTGTCCACAACCCAGCTTGACTCATCACAAGCAATATTTATCATATCCGTATCAAGGAAGGTAATAAGATCTTCGGTGGTGACGGTGGCTAGGCAATTTTCATTGCCATCTTCTTTAGTTTCCTCTTTGTTTTTGTTCTCACTCTTCAACTTTCTGCAGAACTTCTTTGTGTGCCCTTTCATGCCACAATGATAACACTCAATATCCTTAAGCCTGCCTCTGGATTTGTTCCTATTTTGTTCTTTATTCTGAGAACCACGAGTTTTGTTTCTTCCCCTAGAGCCAGTTATCAAGACATTCAACGAAGAAGAACCTTGGGATTTTCTTCTCATCTCTTCGTTCAAGAGACTACTCTTGGCGAAATCCATTGAGATCACACCATCAGGAGTAGAAT